AAGAGGATTTATGTGCACCAGACCAGTGCAGCCCAAAGGGTAATTAATCCAGACCTATAGCAACCCACAAGGAATGTAAATATTGTTCCCCCGGCTCCGAACTGCCCCACTTCCATTGGCTCGTTAATGCACATGACATGGGAGGGCTCAATGGAGTCACTTTATTGGCCTGAAGTCGTGGATCATTTAAATAGTCACCCACCTGAATGGCCCTTATTCCCCGCATCCTGCCTGCTGCTCCATTTCACCCCACAAAGAACGTGAAACACAAAGTTAGTGGATGTGCTTTCCCTTTCGGCAGATCACAGAACCGGTTTACAGTGGAAATGCAGGATATTCCCCTCCACACCTGACTTGACTTCGGAATCTAATGCCACCCAAGAACGCTAGTTACCAGCTGAAATGAGACCCACTGGGTACAGAACTGACAAGTCTTTACTGATGATGATTTGTATTATAACAGTGACATACTCCCCCACACACACATAGGGGCCCCCGACTCCCTGCCTCACTGGCCCCCTGCTCACACACCCAACGCCCACAGAACCTCCTCCCCGCCAGCCCCTCGGGCTGCTCAGCGTGGGCAGGTTCATCCCCACTGCCAGGCCATGTGGAATCGAGATCAAATCAGCCCAGCCCCTGCTCCAGGACAGGGATTTCCTTCCACCATTTCACCACCACCTCAAACAAACTCACAGAGAAGCAGAGGCTCAACCCCCTATTTTAAAGGGCCTCTAGCCCTGGGATCCCCTCCAGCCAGGCCCCCCTGCTTTCCTGCTGACCGGGGAGAGGCCTCTTCCACGTAGAACTGAGCTGTTTCAGGCTACTGAGCCCACCTGGCTGGATCGCAGGGTCACTAGGCAACTCTCGTTTCCCTTCACCCTTGAAAAGCTGGAGAGGGAGGAACTTCTGCCGACCCTACTGCTGCAGGCCTCTGTCACAGACCAGACCATGGCTGGGATCCACGGCAAATCTTCCTACTTCTAAACCAATCTCATAATTTTGGGGGGCCTGACTCATGAGTTTTGACCATCTGGGGCTGGTAGTGCTGTAAGCACAGGAGACACGTAGAGACGTGGTGCTGGCAGAGGTCAGGCCTGTCAGTGATAAAAGACACTGACCCAGCTCTCAGATGCTCTGTTCGGATTCCAGTCATAACTCGCCAACTCCAGCATTTAAAGCAAACCTGCAGCATTGTCCACCAGCCTCTCCCTTGGGAGGGGTGGGAGGTGATATGGATTTTGAAGAGCAAAGTGCAGCAGGCCCAAGAGCAGTATAGACAGATGGTGCCTGGGTGTAGGAGACAGTCATTGTTCAAGAAACCACCAATGGCTTCTCTCGCTGTTTGTCAGTGTGTGTTTAGGGATGTCATGCTCTGAGCTTCAGGGGTGCACAGAGCTGTGACAGAGAGTTTAGGTCTCAGTTCTCTATCTCACGGTATCACTGTGATGAGCGTTACTACTACCATCCCATACAGCACAGTAATAATCTGCATCATCCTCTGCTTGGACCCCAGAGATGACTAAATTCCAGAGGTTGTTGGAGGTGTCAGGGGAGACGGTGAATCGCGCTGGGATCCCTGTGCCCCTGCCCTGGTCACTGCTAGTTTGGTAGTGGTACACAAACCGTGGGGCACTGCCCGACTTCTGCTGGTACCATCCCACCCTGTAGCTGCCGATGCTGTATCCTGAGGACATGGTGCAGGCCAGTCTCACATTCTCTCCGGGGGACACGGACACCGAGGGCGTCTGAGTCAGCACAGGCTGCGAGCTGGAACCTGGAACGAGATAGAAAAGAACTGAAATGTGGCTCTGCCTGTGTGAAACCTGTGAGAGGGGCTGAGCCGCTGCCAGCATCTCAGAGCAGAGAGAGTCAAGTGCATCTTTCTACCCTACCCGAGCAGTACGTGAGCAGCGTGAGGAGCAGAGGGGCCCAGGCCATGGTGGGAATCCAGGAAGCTCGGCTTCCTGAGGGAAACGGGTCTTTGGCTGAAACCCTCCGATTCCCTCTTAAACCCCCAGAGCTCAAAAACGGCCCCTCCATGCAAATCAGCTCCCTGCTCACTGGCTGCTAAATGCACCACAGCCCATGGGAGAAAGGCAGAGACTCCATAAATTGGAAGGGTTCTCAACATACTTATAAAAAAGTCTAATTACCCCGCTGAGATTGTCAGGGTTTCCGGGTAGGAGTCAGCCTCCAACTCTTCCTCATTGCCCCATCCAACCCACACAAACCCCTGAAACTAAAGTCATCTCCCTGCCTCCCATCCTGACACTACCTCCCTCTTGGTATCCCTCTTCTCTGCCTCTTCAAGTGTAATCTACTTGTTCTTGCCCACAAAGCCCTACAGAACCTCTCCCAGCCTCAATATCTGCCCTACTCTCTTGTGTCTCCCTCCCAGCAGCTCCACTCTACCAGTGGTACCGGCCTCAGTGACCCCTCTATCCACTCCTCCCACAACCGTCTCTGTGCCATCTGCCAAGTTCCCCCTATGCAGGGAATGCCCTGGCAATTCTGGGCTGCAAAGCCATCCACTCGCCTCACTCCAGCCCCTCCTGGAGACCTGCTCCTTCCACAGAATGACCCCCCCAGACTGAGCCAACTCCCATTTTATATCCATTTACAAAACCTTTAAACCAGGCTCTGCGCTGGCCGGCCTTTGGTTTCTGAGCAGAGTCTAAGGTGAGATTTCCCTTGTCTGTGTTATTCAAGAGACCACTCGATAGTGTGTCCAGTTCTGGGGTCTGCAATTTTAAAAGGCCGTTGACAAGTTAGAGGGTCTAGAGAAGAGCTACATGGATATTTCAATGTCTGGCAAGCACTAATCGTCGGCTGAGTTACTTTATCCCTCACTATTTAGCTTGTCAAAGAGAAGGTTAAGAGGTGACTTAGGTGTGTTCAGAGTCAACCGAAAGCCACTGAACTCTGTGCTGGTCTGTGCACTGAGAGGCAGAGGTGCTGGAGCTAGGGCGGCTGGGGGGGCTGCTGCAACCCCTGGCTTGAAGTGGTTCCATTCTATGCAGGGTTTGCAGTTTGGTTCAATGGCTCTCTGCCCCCCCGCTATAAGAATTGTTCCAGCGCCGCTGAGAGGGAGCCGGGCATGGCAAACTAACCACCGGAACCGCCAGCCACCAGGGGATTTCTGCAGCTCCAGTGACCTCTTCTGGCCAAACAACAGATCTGTGAGCTGAGCAAAAACTTTTCCT